CGCCTCCGGGCGCAGCTTCCCCGAGCCTACGTCATGGAACTAATCTTGGATTTCCTTGCCGCTCCCTACGAGAATGGAGGTCTCCAGCTGGATTGGCCCTCTGTTCCTCCCCGCACCTGCACTTTTGTTCCGGTCCTTCAGCGCCCTGGTGGCCTCCTTGGTGTGGTCCCCCTAAACTTCCTGGATGGCAGCCTTCTCTCCGCAGGTCAGGCTGGAGGTGCAGAGCCCGTTGTGGGCCCTTCCAAGGAGGTTTCTGTGGAGCTGGCCGAGGAGGAGGAGGACGGGACTTTGCAAAGCACCGGTGTCTTTCAGTCGGTTCTTCTCGTGGATTTCACCGAAGAGGTTTGCGCCTACGTGGGCCGTTACGATCCGGTGACCTCCCCTGTGGAGGCCGTGCATTTCCAGACCGGGGCTCCGCACCTACAGCTGCACTTTCCTTCTGTGTTGCAAGCCGCTCGGGCGTGGGTGCTGGAAGAAGAAGGAGAGAGGCTGGCCTTTTATTCAGCCAACGAGGGAGGCGACCATGCTCCGGAGGCTCTTCAGGAGGATGCTGCTCCAAAACGGAGGGCTGCAGCCCCGCGGCCCAAGCGGCACACCAACGCCCAGTTGGCCGATCAGATCAGCAGCCTGGTCGGCATGCTCCCTGCTTTGACCCAGCAGGTTCAGGACCTAGCCTCCCGCCAAAGAGCTTTGGAGGCAAAGGCGGCCCAGGTTCCCTCGGCGGCACCTCCCTCGGCAAGTCCAGCGCTTCCTGCTCATCGCCGCCCTTTTCCTTCACTGGCCCCTGGCCCTGCCTTAATCCCTCCGCCCCTAGGGTCCCTAAGTGGGTTGCTAGGCCCCCCTCCCAAGGTGCAAGCCCCTTTCCTTCGTGCTCCGCCTCCTGCCTTTCCACCGGAGCAGGCCGAAGAGGAACTGGATCAGGATCCGACCACAGGCGAGCCATTGGTCCCACCGGCCAATCAAGGAGCCTTTGCCAAGGCTATGCTGCAGCCCAGGCTTTAGGCAGCTTAGTGTCGCATCTGGTTTCGCAGGCAGAGAGCTCCGATGGGGGCATGGGAGCTTCCGGTGTCATAGGGCTTGGTTCTCGGGGAGCCGCCAAGCGGGAGAAGCTGCAGGAGCAGCTGGCCCTCCGAACGGGAGGTTTCCTTTTGGCTGTGAGCCAGCAAGCTTTGAGGCGTCTCGTTCCTTCAGAGCCGCTACCAGCCACCAGGGACGAGCTCGCCTTGCGCCGGTCCGTGTTCACTTCGTACGCCGAGCGCTTCGGAGGCTTTGGGTCGCAAAGGGGTTTGGGAGTGATTTTCTGGCTCCTCGCCAATATCCTGGATGCCATGATATCAGGCGATGCCACAGGAGCGGAGGAGATGGCAGCCCTCGCTATCATTGCCGTCGAGCAGGCTTCTCAAGACTCAGGGTCTTGGGACCTGGCATACCTGCTAACCTTGATGGAGGACCCACCTCACCAGCTTTTTCAGCATCGCCCTCAGTCTCAAAACCCGAGGCTCCGGGCTTTCGGGGGCCTGACTCCCCAGCCGTGGGCCACCACCACTTTGTCTTTTGTCAAGGAGATAGATGCCATCCAAAGCCGGCGCAACGAGACTATGAGTGCCCCGAAGTCAAGGTCCCAAGGTTCCCAGGAACAGGACCCCCCCGCCAAGCCGAAGCGTGCCCGTTTCCCCCGCAAGCCGAAGGACACTTCGCCTGCCTAGGTCCTCCTGGGCTGTTTCCCGGTGACTTTCCTTCCTGTGCCCATGCCGTGCCTCTGCCCTTTGCCTCGGCCCGGCTTTGCGCTTGCGAGGGCGAACAGTTACAATACCAAGGGGCCCCCTTTGAAGCCGTTCCGGGCCCGTGCCCCTTTGAAGAGCCAGCTCCATGTGACCCAGGCTCCGGGCAACACTCTTCTTCTAATTCGTCCTTGCCTTTGGGAGCCGGGCCTTCTTCGGCCCCGTGCCCGGCCCCACCTGGCCTGCAAGCACCGCGAGGTTCGACTGGCAATGCCCCGTCTTCCCCGCCGCCCTGCGCCTTCAGTGCTGGCGCTCGCCCCCTGGGCTTCAGAGCTTTTGGTCTCAGCTTAGGGTCCCGGGTTGCTAGGACTAGGGGCTCTTTTGGGGCTTTTGTTAGCAAGACTTTGCACCTCCCTCAGGACAAGCCAGCGCGTCCTGCTCACGCTCTTTTCCCTCTGCCGGTGCCTTTCCCTGGATGTTTCCAGCACATCCCTTCTGCCAAGGCATCTCGTACCAGGTCCCGTGTCGCTTTCAGGCGTGTTGCTCACGTTGCCGTCATGGCTTGCAACTTCCTTTTCGCGGGGGCTTGCCCATGCCCATTGCGTTTGCTTACTCACCGGCCAAACAAAGCTCAGGCTGCTGCCATAGGCTACGTCTTTAAGCTTTGTAGGGCGTGCGGTGCCGTGGAACCATTTCTTGTGGCTTCTGCTGGGCGCCGAAACCTTTCCCTAGCCACTGGCCTTGCCGAGCTCTGCGAGCACCTTACCTTTGTGGGCCCCTCTTCTGATCCCTACGGCCCCCAGTTCCATGGTGTAGCTCCTGAGGCCGCTGATCCTGGCAAGTGTTCTTTCGTTGCTCCGGGGCCCTCCCCTTGCACTGGCGAAGGCTACGAGGATGGGTTTCCGGACGCCTTGGGTAGCCATACACCTCCCTGTGCACAGCCCGTCTTAAGATTACAGGGAGGGGCCAGTGGGACCCCTCTCCTTTCCTTGCTCCGGACCCGGACTTGCAAATTGCTTTCCTCGAGCCGGATATCTTGCTGCACAGTGCCTCTCCACCTGCCGATGCCGTGCCTGATCTCAGCCGAGAGCGCCCCCGTGAAGTGGGCGACCTCGCCCTGCGCTGGTCCGAGCTTGGGCTTCTTGGCCTCAAGGACTCCTATCAGGACCAGGTCTCCCCTCATGACTCAGTCCGCGTCTTTAACTGCTTTAAGACGCCCGAGTGCGATCGCATGATCGGGGACAGGCGGTCGAGGAACTTTCGTGAGCGGGCCCTCCGGGGGCCCTCGGTGTCTTTGCCATGCGGCCCAGTGTTCCTGTCGGTCTACCTGAACCCTCGCAGCACCACCCTCCGCATCGCAATCACTGATCGCAAGGACTTCTATCATCAGATAGCAGCTGGGCCCCGCAAGGCCAGCCACAATTCGTTGTATCCCCCCTTGCGGGAGGAGCTCTTCCTTGGAACCGCCGCGCTGTCTGAACTTCACAAGAGGAGAGCTTCCTCGAGCCGCCGCTCTGTTTTGGTTGAGCCCGCCGGCGAGGGAAAGGTCATCGCCTGCTTCAAGGCTGTGCTGCAGGGGGACCACCTCGGCGTTGAGGTTGCTACCTGTGCTCATCGCAACTTCCTTCTTGAGCGGGGGCTCCTTCAGCCAGGGAAGGAGGTAAGAGCCAACCACCCTTTCCCGACAGGAGGCGCCCGAGACCCCGCCCGAGGAATCTCAGGCCGTGAGGGCCCTTGAGCGGGCCACCCTCGCTTATCAAGATGCTAAGCTTCTGGGGTCGACTGAGAAGGATGTCAAGGGTGAGGAGAAGGCCAAGGTTGCAGGAGCCGAATTGGATGCTTCGGCTAGTGCCCGCCAGGCTGGGCTGGTCACGGCAGGTGCGCCCTGCAGCAAGAGGCTCTCTCTTGCCTCGATTTCCCTGAGCCTCGCTTCCCTGCCCTCGACAACGGACGTGCTGCACAGTTGCCTTCTTGGGGGCTGGGTATCGGCTTTTCTTTACCGGCGCCCGCTGATGGCTGTGTTCTCTCATGCCTTTGCCCTTGTCGATGCCTCTC